GGGGGGTGGGGGGGGGGGGGGGGGGGGGGGGGGGGGGGGGGGAGGGGGACACGGAGTGTAACTGGATTGAGTGTGCCATCGGGGTGCGATGTTTGATCGAAGACCGCCTGCAGTGCTCTGTGGTAATCGGCGGTGGCGAATCATTTAACTGGGCGGTTGCTGTGCATGGTGCTCTGCTAGGACCTTGAATGAGAGAGTGTATATACAAGGCTTCAGAACTTGAAACAGCACCGAGAGGGCATGACGTCACCAAGGCTTTTAATTTGCAAAATGTGGCCGGCACACGGATGGCGGTTTGGGTGTGGAAACCCCAAGCTTCAAAACTCTTCCCGATCATGTCTGCACGACTCATCCTTCCAAAAGCGTGTAATACATGATCGCCAGCAAATAAACGTATGCATTCCTCGTATATTATGTACTCCAAGTGCTTACTACGAGTATTCTACCTACTACACACGAGGTAAGGCTACGTATACGCCTTGGGAAAAAGTGTCACAGCAGCGGCCAAAGACGCTATCTACACCGAACACCGCCGCGTACTGCAGACTCCGCAACATCATGTGTGTGCGGCGCGGACAGAATTCTCGGTCCACTCCGTCGTTTTGATCATCCCATCCTGCCACACTGCCAAAGTGTCGCTCGCCGTATCTCTCTAGCCGTCAACGGAAGCAATTATCTGAGAGTCTGCTTAGTCCCTCTGCTGCCGTGCATGCCTGCATTTGACGGCGGAGCTGGCAGTCAGCGTCAAGCCTCCCTTTGGAAGCCAGTGTAGAAGCTGCGGCAACGGCAACGTATCCTTGCCAGACACACCGAACTTTCACCTTCGGAAAACAGCAGCACACGCCATGCATTCGAAATGTTCGAAACCAGGGCGGTGGCCATCCAACAGGGTAGGGGCAGAACTGTAGAGCACGAGGAAAACCCCTCCTTACCCCACGCAAGCGTCAGCGCGGGGTGTGCTTCGCCCGAGCGCCGAGAGCAGCGAGCAGGTCCTGTGTTTTGATTGTAGTCTACTAGACTAATGGGAGTGTCCCAACAATCAAAGTCACGATTAGCTGCGAGTGGGACGCCTCCCATAGGTCTCTCACCTAGATCGGTCGGGGCAACCTCAACATAGTCGAACCGGGGTACGTCTTGCACTACTCCATGCATGGCCTCCAAACGCACGCAGAGTATCAGGTGCGCAGCGCGTGCTACTGCTGACTGAGTGCTAGAGTGCTGTCGCGATCCTTGGGTGTGGTGGAAGTGACTGGTTGGGCGGGGGGGACTGTTTGATATACGGAGCACCCGACAACGTTTCCCGAACCCGGAACCTGCTTCAGCAAAGCAACGCATTATCGACGCGACGACGGTGCATGCCACCGTTGGAAACACAGAACCCAGGTTGCGGAGCTGGAGTGGCGTGAACAGGCACACAGTAGCATTAACCAGCGGGCCCACCCGGGCGGCACGAGCGAGAAGGACCAGCCACACCCCCGTACAGCCGTCTTCGTGGTACGTCAGAGAAGAACCACGACGCGGCGGAATTTTGAGTTGTTCAACTTCACTTCAAAGGGGCACACGCTCGTTTACACCAGCCAGCAACAGCCAGCGGCGCATGCCTTGAGGGACGCAAGGCTGCACCAGCTGGCCTTCTTCGGGGACCAGTCATGCCAGAAAAGGACGAAGAGCAGCAGCGGCTGACCACGAAAGGTGGCAGCAGTGCCGCCAATGCGCATGACGAGCTGGAAGCATACGGCGCGGTGACTAGCCCGACAACGACAGCGGCCTCAGCCCCACCAGTAGCAGCATCATCCAAAGGGAATGGGCTGGCTGTCAATGGCCTGGGCGACATCTACGGCGAGAGAGACGGAGGAGACGGAGGTGAGACTGGGCGAAGAAAAAATGCTCGGCGTTTAGGTAGCTGTGGATGGTGCCCCTTAGTAAGAAGCAGACGTTTTAGTCGTGTGCGTGTTTCGACTGAATGAGACACTTCTGGCAGTTCAGACTAGACTTATCTAATAGTCGTTTCGTCTGCTGTCCGACCATCATCCCCTGCCTCCAGGCAGTCCACACTAATTAACTCTTCCCCCGCGCCATTGTATGACGCCCGAGCCTCTCTATCACCGAGCCTATGCATGCGGGTCAGCAGTCTTCGTCTATGTGTCTAGACCCCACTCGTGTGCTGGTTTCTCGGTCGTGTTACATACGACGGCCATTTTTTTTTCGGGGTTGTCGTGTCGATGTAATTTTTTCCGATGAATGTGCACTTTCGTACTTTCGTTCGCCAGCAGTACTTCGCCTCGAAGTCGTAGACCATGAAGTGCATATGATACAATACAAGCAGTGCTTTCGTGTTCGTAAATATCTCTTCTCAACACAATCTCTGGAGGTCCGGATACCACTGGCAGAGAGCGAACAATGTTCGACTACAAACTACGTATTCGAATCCCCGTGGTACCAGCACCAGCCCTCCGCGTTTCGGTTTATTGATAGACCATGTGTGTGTGTTTTTTATTGCAGTGGCATCGACCACGCTAACCGGCTGACCAATGAAAAAACGTCGGTCTCAGTGCAGTTGAAAACACAATACTCTTCCTAAATGTCAATTGACTGGGACCCCGTGAGGGGGCGGCATATAGGAGGCTGCGCAACTCGTGGTTGGTATGCACATCGGCCGCCAATAGCTTCATCCCTAGGGGCGAACATTGTTGCTCCAAGACGTGGAACATCAGTCCGGCCTTTTTACAATGCGTTCACTGCTGTTTGTTGTTGTGGTTGTTTCTCACATTAGCTCTATAGTCCACAAAACATGGGGAGCCCATGGTCTCAAACCCGGCACATACGACGCCGCGCGGAAACAAAACAAAAATAGGGTACAAACCACTCGGAAAAAGAACACAAAATGATAGAAAGAAAAGAACAGGTATCGCACCGACCGTTCGAGAAGAGCCCTCGGAAACCGATCAAAATAAAACGAAGACAAAATAAAGGAGGACGCTTTCCACACCAGCCCAAAGAAGAAATCAAAGGGTAACGTACCAGCACTAGGCACTACGCACCAGCGCATGGGAGTAACGGAGCAAACAGGACGAGGAGGCGCCAGATGGGTAGACAGCCAGACGTACAAGAACAAAGGCAACAGCAAAAGCGAGATCAAGGTACCCAACACAGCAGAGTAGGCAGGGAGGTCATGAAAATAAGAAACACAGCACATAGGCCGAAGGCAATACAAAGGACATACATATAGGAGTATTGCATACAGCAGGGAGGGAAACAGGGCGCAACAACATCAGCCGCTGTGCTGTGCTAAGGTTTCATCAACCGATAGACGGATATAGACTAATTTGTAGATGCCTTGCGTGCGCAAGTACACATGGTTACCCGAACTCCGCTGCCTCTGCACCACTGCACACGCGTCGCTTGTATGCGGATGTATCTGAGCGTAAAGCTGTTGGCGGCAGATGCCTCTCCGATCTCTTGTCGACCGCACTGCCGAAACTCACTCATAAGAATGTTATTTTTTCAAGGAACCCAGTCTATGTAAACTAAATCGTGCTCTAAGCTATCGTATCTTACTACTGCTGTATTATGCCTATCCTGCTCTAAGCCATTGAGACTGTTGTTCTTGGCCATGTGAGCGTGCTCAAATACAAGCATGCACGTGTACAGCAGTGTTGGCCAGCGCCGCTGAAGGAGGCTCCTACAAAGCGTGTAGCCACGTGCCGTTCGAGGCGAAAATGCACCAGCAAAACTCTGCATCCTTTTTGCTTAATCCTTCGGTGTAGTGTTCCTATCGTGCTGATGCATGATCAAGTATGGCACTAATGATGACCAGTCACAGCGGTACTGCGAAAGTTGTGTTATTTGCCTCGCTCCAAAAGTATTTGGCGTGGAGGCGATGGATGGGAAAGGTTGTCGGAATTAACACACACTAAGCAAGCGCCCAACAAAGACACCGGCAATACCAGCTGGTTGCACGTAACCTGTCAGTGGTTTGTGGGCGGCCTACGGCGTGCTCTCGTTTCAGGACTTGAATGCACCCCTGATCCAGTCCTAGAAGTATCATTTTACAAGCAGTAGAGGTCCCTATTGGTGGCGGTTGAGTAATGCCGGTGTCCGGTATAGTGCCGGTGTTTTCGGCGGGCACACACTTGTCATGTCATTCTCAATACTTTGATTAGTGCCGGTTCGTGTATTGCCGGCGAATCTCTGGGCACCTACCGGGACTAAACAGATCTCTACTACTATGCTTCGGGCTATTTCGCCCTCGTTTTCCACGGGACCTGCCCGCAGGATATCGTGTTGTAGTAAAGTCTTCGACACATCCCTCTCGACTGAGGTTATACCTCAAACGGGTAATCTTTCTGTGAGTTTGTGCTTACTTTCTAAATATAGTTCGCGTGTGGAGACCGGTTCTTTCTTCTCCCCACATGTAATGGTTTTTAAAACACCAGCTAGCTGTGGCATCACTTATGCCTTCAGTGCTCGAAACAGACTCAAAACTCAAGCCCAGAAGTGCATACGCTTTAAACAGACTGGTAAGTAGTATCCAGTAGGCTTTCGTCCCCACGAATCTACTGCAAATACTCGTCAGCACACACACATATTCGACTACAGGTAGTACGGCAGGAGGACACGTGTCTCGAACTGGTAGGAGTCTTGCAGAGTGAGAGCAGTGTATGTATCTTTTTGAAGTGAAAAAGGTGAACAGTTTTGCGCATGCGGTCTGTGTGACCCGCAGAATTGTGCGGAGTGATGGCAGCCGTAAATTGTTGGCAGGAACACGTCCCTCGACCATTGAAAGCGTTGGTTGGTTCTCAAGAGACAACCATTAAGTCACACCGTACCGTCGGGGTAGAGGGATAGAGCGCACATGGTCGGGATGGCTGTGGACCGCCTTACCTACTGTATTTCACTCGGCGGGTAAAAGTTGTCGTAAAATCGTCTGTGGTGGTTGCCTTAGTTGTTGACGAGACAAGAATTTTAGTCCGTTGTTGGCGAGACAAGAATTTCAGTCCTAGTCCAGAAAGTGGCTCATGGATAGCCCACACCTAACCCAACCCATCGGGAGAATACCTCGCTACCGCACGGCATTCGCAATGTCCGGCCTCGTCTAGTTTACCAGCCACCATAAAGGATCCTATCACGTCACGGAAAGGCCAAGGCACTGTTTCTCCGCCGCGCCGCGGGCTACCCTTCCGTCACTATCCGCCCGACCACGTCACACGAAACTCTGTACCCTCCACGACACCTAGTCTAGCGTGCAACCACTCGCCACTCCTCGTTATGTCGTGGAGGTGAACAGTGCTTACGCGACAAGCTACCCCAGTTCGGATCGTCGTAACCCACGAGAGAAACCACTTCGTTTCGTTTTTTGCGGCGAGCCACGGCATTTCGAGACCAACCCTCTTACTATCACTGGATGGCAAACGAAATTAGGCATTGACTATCTATCTGCAACGAACACGAACACAACCACACAAACAACGGACGGATCTTGAAGGCGTGGTGAGCTACAGCATGGCAAGAAAAGGCAAACCAACCACCTTTCTACCATGGGCGCTGGATGGCCAAACCAAAACAAATATGTACATTCTGCAACGAACGTGAAGACACTCAACAACAACAAAACAACAACAACAACAACAACAACAACAACATCAACAACAACAACAACAACAACAACAACAACAACGACGAAGGGATCTTGAACGTGTGCTTAGCTACAGCAGGGCAAGAAGAGGCAAACCAACCATGTTACTACCATGGACGCTGGATGGCCACTCCGAATCAAACATGGACATTCTGCAACGAACGTGAACTCAACAACAACAACAACAACAACAACAACAACAACAACAACAACAACGAACGTATCTTGAACGCGTGGTGAGCCACAGCATGGCAAGAAAGACAACGCAAACGTGTTAATTTGGACGCTGGATGGCCAACACAAATAAAACAAAGACATGTCCGCAACAAACGTGTGCTGTTCTTGCGCTCTTTGGCAGGCTGCCAATCGGAGACGGAAGTGATATTACCCTACGACCCTCGTCTCATAGCCAACGGAGAGGTAGGCTCAATAGTGCTNCTGTTGGACCATTTGACCACGCGTCCTCGAGAGGATGGAGAGTTGTGCCCGCAGGACCGATCACCGATGATGGCCAATCGTTCCTTCCTACTTTGCCACAGGTGGCTCTGAGGGCGAGGGGGCTACTCATGTTAACGCATGCCGTAGTCTGTATTTCTACTTTATTTTAACTCCAGACTTCGCATGCCAGGACGGAGCGATAGATATGCCGGGTTTTCGCCGGCCCAGACTACGTTTCGCAAGGGTGAACTAGCTGATCATCATCCTTGCGTTTGCTCGGGGGGGGCTCAGCGAGAAGGGGAGGGGGGGGAGGGCACGAGTCATGAAACCGTTTCCTGGCGAATGGGAGAATTATTCGAACGATGAAAACATCATAGAGCAGGACGAACGTAGCCGGAAATGCTGCTGCTATGGTCTCTCTTGTCTCGGCAATGTTATGTCTGTGCGTGGGATGGCAAACCTACGTGGGTGTCCCATTTGGAGTTCGGTTGGCTGATCGGTGGAACGCATGTACCCAGGAAGCCCCGGAGAAGAGTTGTAACCGCCTTTGGCATTCAACCTTGTTTCGTCTGATTGATCTACTACACGAACCACTCGACAGGAGGGGATTCGGCGACATTTGGCGAGGGCACGAAGCAGCAGCAACATACTGTGTGCCGGCTGGGTGGACTTCGAGCTGACCTTCAGAGACAGGTCGCCCAGATTCATCCGCTTCGGGTTGCTGTTGCTGGTGAGGGTGTCAGGGTTCTCGGATGAGGAGTTGCTGGCCCTTGACCGACGTTCTCTGTTGTTGTTGTTGTTGTTGTTGTTGTTGTTGTTGTTGTTGTTGTTGATGTCGCTGTTGCTATTGCTGTTGTCGATGATGTTTGTGATGGCGAGAGTGTTGGCACGACAGCATTAGTACTCGATAAATATCATGCCCCCCCCCCCTCGGTGTTTGCCATCGGGATTGGGTTTTTGTCGCTTGGCAACGACGTTGTAAAACAAGCCAATTCACTTCGTGAACTCGGCAACCAGGTATTTTTTTACCTCTTTTTTTTTGTTGGTGGCAACCATAACGGTGGTCGAGTAGATCATGCTGTGCGGGGTGGAGAACCCTCACTCCGCGCAAGGGGGATGATCGCACCACGTTGTGTTGAAATGGTCAAGCACCCTCGAGGCAGTTACACAGTGCTTACAACTGTCTCTGGAAGTGAAAGCACCAGAAAATAAATTAATTCATACGCAGCTGTCATCCGTACGCAAGGAAGTAAGCACAAGATGCCGAACACCCTTAGCAGGATGCAGCGCACCCTTCATGCGACTCGCCGAATATCTCACGGCGCTTCGCGCTTGGTGATGTGAGAGCCTGGTCCGGTGAGAACCCGGCGTGCTCCGTCCCGACTTCGTAGAGATGCGAGGTCAATGGTCTAACGAATAGGGCATGCACGACTATGAGTACACCCCTCCCCCTCCCGTTGGCCGTGTGTGCTTGGTTCCGCCTCGGCCTGTTGGTCGGTCTCAGATTACCCTGCTGCCCTTCGGGGCGCATTTCGTCAAGAACTCCTTCAGCTCCCTCGAGGTGTACTTTCTGGAGGTATGAAATTGAGACAGATGCAGCGCTATTCGGATTAAGATGTATGTCTGGAGGTATGATATTGAGACAGATGCCGCGCTATTCCGCGTAACATGTATTTCTGGAGGTATGTCGTATGTGGACAGATGCCGCGCTATTCCACTGAAGATACACTTCTGGAAGTATGATATTGAGACAGGTGCCGCGCTATTCCGCTGAAGATGGATGGGTCCGAGCCTCCTCCGTGTGTTTTTCTACCGCAGACGAAAACACGCCGCCGCTTGGACCGATTAGACAACGGCTCTCATACATACTCGTGCGTGTCATCTGTGGGACGATGACCTAGTGACCGACTTCGCAAGGATCAAAAGGGACCCCTCGTGGTCGTCGTGGCTCTCTGTGCTTCTCTCCGCCCCCCAACTGCCTTGCCCCCTGTCTCTCTCTTTGCCCGAGCAGGACCCTAGCCTACCCCCCCTCAACTNCCAACTGCCGCCCCCCCCCTTTTCCCAGGATCCCAAGCTACACTTCAACGAGACCAAGTACGGGACGGTGATGTCCGCGATATCGATACCCAACCTCTTCATGCCCTTCTTCGGGGGACTGTTCCTCGACTCTAAGGGCCACAAGCAGGGCATCATCATCTTCCTCAGCCTCGAGCTCATAGGTGCCTCGTTCATCACAATGCAGGGCGAGCTGGTGGTGTAGTAGGCTGAAGATGCCTGCATACCTTACCGTTACCGTTATCTCTTTTGTGGCGCCGCCGCCGCCGCTGCCGCTGCTGCTGCTGCTGCTGCTACGTTCGTTCAACCATCGGGTGTTGTGATTCCTACAAGCCTTAACGCGTTTTCTTTTATTCCAGCTCCGCCGCTGCTGCTATGCTGCTGCTTTCGTTCAACCGTTGCTGGTGCTTATGTTCACGTCGTTGTTGTTGCTGCTGTTGCTGCTTGTTACTCGTAAAAACCGCCTCTTATATGCCGCCTCCGCTGCTGTTACTGCTGCCGCTTCCGTGCAACAGTGGCTGGTGCTCACGTTCACTTTGTTGCCGCTGCCGTTTTTGCGGCGACCTTCGTACAGCTGTCGCTGGTTTTCATGTTCACCTCTTGCTGCTGCTGCTGCTGCTGCTGCTGCTGCTGCTGCCACTTGTTCCTCTTTGGACCAAGCGTAGGCCACGTCATCTTCACTCTGGCGATGGGCTGCGGCAACTTCTGGATGGCCGTTTTCGGGGAGGCGGTGTACGGGTTAGGTTCTGGTGCCGTTGTGGTGGCGATGCGGGCCGTCGTCTCCAAGTTTTTCCTTGCGAAAGAGCTAACGTTCGGGATGGTGAGAGAAAACAAACGCCCCGTCGTCTTGAGACCGTAGACAATTTCGCGAGACTTTCTTCCTGGGTCGTTGAGGTTCGGTGGACTATAACACGTTCGCTGTGTGAGCTTGGGAAAGGTCACTGATGACAGCTGGCGGCTGATTATCACCAACACGGTGCGTTACTTTGCATCTTGCATCGCGCTAGGATGACACTACAGTAGGGGGCCCTCTATAGTGCCGGTATGTGTTCAGAGAGCAAAGCGGCACTATACCGGGCACCGGCACTATTCAGAGTACAGAAATACTTGATATTCCGGTGTGTGCGAGCCGAAAACACCGGCACTATACCGGCAACCGGCACTATTCAACCGGCACTATATCGGGCCACCCACTGTACTACAACGCTCTGATGAGCCCACTCCGGAGGCGCGCCTTGTTTGTCGTGGTCTTTGGTGTCATCCATGTGTTTGTTCCAACGAGTCGTCGCACATGTCGAGGTCGTCGTACATATCGGAGTGATGTCTTGCAAGGGAGTTCCTAACGCCGATTTTGATGAAGATTCAGTCGCATAATAGTGCGGTAAGCGTACCTTTTCAGTAGTTGAACCTCTCTTCCTCTGGTACGTATTCCGTCCCATCATCTCTTTCTCTCTCTGCCTCTCTCTCTCTCTCTCGCTCCCCCTCCACCCGCCCTCTCTCTCTCTCTTGGAAACAATTAACCAGGGTATCACGATCGCCATGGCGTGCGTGTCCAAGACTCTGGCAAAGGCGTCGGTGGCTCCGGTCGCTGAGAGGTGGGGGTATATGGGGGCGCTCTGGTACGTGGCACTGTGGCAGGTGCTCTCCCTATTGGCGGGGCTTGTCTACGTCAGGTGAGAGGGAGACCCTTACGCTTGAATTTGGTTCGTTCGGTGGGAGCTACTGTAAAAGGTTTTCACGCGAAAGATTGTTGTGGTGTTGGTGTTGGTGTTGTTCTTGTTCTTGTTCTTGATGTTCGGAATACATGGGATGACACACACAAGTTGCGTTCTAGGTCAGAAACGTTCGGACATTTTTTTGTTTGTTTTGTTTTGTCGATAAGATGTTGTTCTCTGTACGCAGGCGCCTCCCATCGATTCCTGTTGCTGGCAGTTCTTCACAAAACACACAATCACAGACCACCTACCCGTTCGAGACAACGCCTCGTCATCGAAGGAAAGTCTACAACTTTTTTATTCATTTGGGAAAACCCGCTGGACACTTGGATTTTTTTTTAGACATGTACAACAGTAGCAAGGATATTATGCTTGGTTTCGTACACGCCCCCACCCTGTCCCTGAGATTGGTATATTTTTCCCCCGTGTTGGATAGATTGGCTACGTCCGCGGGCAACCATGTCGGCATGGAGGAGGCGGGAGCGGAAGCGGGCCCGGGGCCAAGGGACCGTCGTGTTCGGTCGCGCTTGGTGGCGTTGAAGAGGTCGACGCTGTCGTTCTGGCTGGTGGCGATCTTGCACACGCTGCTCATCATAGCCTACCACCTCTTCGCCAACTACTCCGGCCACTTCTTGGTGGAGGTGAGAGCGGGCAGTAGTAGCCTCCGCAGGGTGTTTTCGATGAAGTAAACATGCTGGATAAAGCATGCACTCGGGGGAGTTGGGGTTGGGGTTGGTACGGATCGGGTCGGCGTACCCCCTGCTTGTTCTAGTTCCTCATGCGCTTTATTCTCGGGAAGGCAGTCTGAGAGGGGCGAGCAGTGCTCTTGAGAACAGTCTCGTGCGAGTTTCAAGTCTCATGTGACTGGAGAGTCGTAGGCGCGTGCAAGCTACGTCCGCACTCTGAGAACCCCATTTCATGCGTATTTCAGTATGGGGG